AACAGTCCCCAATTCAAACAGAAACACACGCCGCGCTGTTCTCTGCGTCCCTGCTGGTTGGACGGGACTCGCCGTTCAGAGTGAGCGGCTGGCGCCTGCAGCGCTGTGCGTCCCGCCCCGCAGGCGCTGGGCCCCCCGGCCTCCCGGGCCCACGCGCGTGTGGCTATTCCAGGGCGGAGGCACAGGGAAGGGGAAAGAGTTAATGACATCTTATTGTAACATGCCCTTACTGTTCACTAAATACAAACTTTATTTAAAACTCCATCTTAAAACAGATAAGTAACACGTGGTCCGAGTTCAGTCCCCATAGTTGTTTGATTTCAACCAACATCTTTAAATAAATCTGAAATACAGTCATACTAGAAGCACTTAATACTTTCAAATAAAGCAATTCTTTATCTAAGATGAGAAGCCTTATAGGGTCATGTCATATATTATACTTACTACAAAGAGCAAATCAACTAGAGCCTTTACCTATTTCATTAACACAGTTCAAAGAGATTATCTATGATCCAGTTAACCAGAAATCAGGTGTATTAGAGCTACACCATTCCCTAAGCATTTGGGGGAACCAGAGTATTTTTACCTTGTGTTTTTCTTTGTGAGCTCTCAAAAAACATAGTTAATGGAGAATATTCTTGAAACTGTGATATTTATCTTATGAAACAAAAAAAATGTTATTGCAGGAATATGAACTTAATTTTTTAGGATGCTTGCACAGCACGCTGTGGGCAGCCTGGACTCAGCCGTGCAGAAACAAAGCAACAGTAGCACCGGATGTTTGTACAATGTCTGCAATTCAGAAAGTTCTCGGGTTCATGTCAAGTTATTCCTGGAGCCTATGAGATGGACAGGGACGTATTCTGAGCTACTCTTTTCAGATGAGAAAGTGGGGGCTCAGAGAAGGTCATAAGATTGAGTAGGGGGCTGGTCTCTGGGACCTGACCAACATCATCACTAAATACTTAAACCATTTCATATTTGAAAAATGAAAGGCACCATAAGATTACACGCTAAGGGCTAAAGGAGTTGGATCTCCCCGCCCTGCCCTCCCAAGGATGCTGTGCCCGACTGGGCCAGCATCCTGTGGCATGTAGGGGTGATGCTCTAGCCAGAAAGGCAGGGGTGTGACTAGTGTGCTGTGGTCCAGAGCCTGGAAGACGACAACGAGGGGAGGAGTGGAGGAGAAGAGAACCGTCACAGGGACGTCATGGCAGGTATGGGCTCCAGAGTCTGGTTCTCGTGTGACTGGATACACGGCCAATGGTGGGGAGAGCCCACTGTGCTAATGGGTTACATAGGACTGAGCACAGACCATGTGTTTTATAGGAACTCCAGGGAGCACAGAGCCCTCTGGCTGGCATGATCAGAAGAAACTCCAAAGAATTAGAGCAATAACATGCCCCCACGCCCAGGCACACTCTCCCAGGTCAATGGGAAAGAAAAGCTGAACTCTCCTTGGTTTGCTTGCTGAGGCCACAGCGTTTTCCTCCGGGCTCCGTGGACTCTCTCATTTTCTCCTTTCAGGTTTTGCATTAATTTCAACCTGCTCGAGACATTAAAGCACCAGAGAGCTGAAAAATTCTTGGAGGCCTCCTTTCAATATTTATGCCAAGCCTTCCAGCCAGTTTTTCCATATTTAATCAAAAGCGCTCAGGTGCCTACTTTCCAAGACATTCGCTCCAAGCACCCTGCCCACCAGCTGGAACCGGCAGCCCCGCGAAGTGGGGGATAGACTGACCCCAGCTGATCAGGCGGCTGAGAAACTCAGGGTGCTTCGTGGGGCGGGGATGGAATGCTGGGTAAATGTTCAATGTCACTGGGAGCTGACATGGGCAGCCAACCACATAATGGGTGCAGGGGTCATGGTGATATATGAAAAGCAAGAATCTTTTTTGTACTCTCTCCTCACTGTTTTCTAATCTAATGGACAAAAAGCCAGGAAGTACAGTAAAAGTTCCTCTCTCGTCAATAGGTAAAAATATATTCTTTTTTATGTGAGAAGTATCAAAAAGTATACAAGGAAATGAAGGGAAACGGGCTGGAGTAACGCCAGTTTAAGAAAACAGTACCACGTTGCATGTTTTACAAAGTAGCAGAGAGAAAATGACTGGAGAGGGAACAGATGGGTGAGACCATCCAAGTTCACTCTTCAGGAAGGAAATTCATTAGGATAGCAATTCCGCCTTTTAATTATGAATGGGGTCTATTTAATTCTCCAAATTTACGACTGGTTTCCTGAGCAGTATCTGTTTCTGAATTGAATCTGTGGGTGAGTCATTTCCGCTCCACAAATGACCCCTCACACAGATGAGGGCCAGCTCAGGACACCCCCTTGACCTCTCATAAAGCCTGGCCTGCCAATGTCAGACACACATGTCGTGGGTGGGCCCAGCAGTTGGACCCGACATTTCAAAATGGTTAACATTAAAATTTGTGACATTATCACAAGTTATTTTCCCAAGAATTAAGGAGTGAGTAAAAGAATTCTTCCTTATTCTCATAACCGGCCCAGGGAGGTCAGAAGCCTTCCTTGCCCAACCCTAACGCAGGATTGGGACACTGGAGAGGAAAGCCCTGTGCTGGCTTTTTTGAGTGTCCAGAAAGGACACTGCTCCGTGGTTTCAAGGGGAGGGCAAATGCTTTCTGTGCATGCGGCAGCCATCTGCTCAGAACGTAAGGCCCCGTGGGCGGCAGTGCGTTTCCTGATCTACAGTGTAATTAAGATTGTATGCGTTATGATTTCACTTATATGTGGAATCTAAAAAACTGAATGAATGAGCAAAGTAAATAGAAGTGGTCTCAGAGATATAGAGGAACAACTGATGGCTGCTAGTTGGGAGGGGGTGGGGATGAGGGAGAAGGGGAAGGG